CATATACTTAATAGGTAAGTTTTCAGAATGAACTACGAAATCGATAGGAAAAATTAAATTTGGTGTTTGTTCGGAGTTAACGAGACCAATACTTTTCTTCAGTGGGAACAAAACTAATTTAGCTTAAATATAAAAATATGGGTGAAGTTCACGCAACTTCGATATTTAAGGAGGAAATCGAGAACAAGATGAACTGATTGATCTTCAATGAAAATAAACACAATCACAAATAAGATTGTTTTATTTGTTTACAAATTCAGAGTAAAAATTATTTTAAATTTATTGAAAATTACAGAAAATCTAAGTAAGGCCGTAAGTGTGATGCCTGTAATGTTTGGAATCGACCAAACAATGCAGTATCAATTAATTTTTTTGTATAAAATCTAAAATGTTACAATCCCATAACAATATTGTAATAACCTAAATCCCACGTCATATGATCAGTGCTCCAACATTTCACAGCTATTATATTGTTAAAAATTGTTTATATTAATTTTAATTATTAAATAAAATTCAATGAAATTGATACTACGTAGTTTCTATACTATTCTTCAATTTACTTCCTATTTTGGGTCAAATCGAATGCCTCGTTTTTCAAACTATAGGCATATCAGATAACACATTTCCTGATCTAAAAGCGGAAGTTATTTTTTTTTTATAATTAGATATAATTTGATAAAATTGATGCCTATTTCATTTTACGTTTACCAATCCCTAAATTCCTTCCAAATTTGAGCAAAATTGAACTTGCGGTTTTAGAGATATAGACGTATCAAGTAAAACACGTTTGCGCATATATAAGAGAAAGCAATCGACAGAATTCAATAAAATTGACCCTACATCATTTTTTCAAAATATCTACTTTTTATCCTACTTTGAACCAAATCGAACTAGCAGTTTCTGAAATATTGGCATATCTACAGAAATGCGTTCGCGCGAGCGTATGCGACAGTACTGATTAGAATTTAATAAAATTGACATGGGACCATCTATACTCCGACCCGCACATTTCCTAAAAAATTCATGAAAATAGGATAAACGGTAGTAGGTGATATGCCCGCTACATCGATTTGACTACAGACAGACAGACACCAAACCAAATTTGATCCTTGATGTCTGATACGTAAAATGGGAGACAAAATTTTTGATTCTGAGCACATTTTTTTTAACCTCTCGCACGAATACAATGCTTTCCTAATTTCAGTGGTGAGGAAGCAAAAAAAAAAAAAAAAAACGGTGTGCTTTAGACCACAAGATACAAGTGAAAACATTAACAATACGAGATTAATAATATGATGTATAATGGTTTTTGTTCTATATTCACAATGTAATGACATTTAGAATATATAAAATTATAATTGTGTGTAACTTACTGAAGTAAACTTGGTTCTGATCTTCATTTGTATTATAATCTAAAATGATACAATAGGTTTATAATAACTAAAATATGTGATGAATACTTTTTATTGAAATCTATATTGCTAAATATATAACAAAAACTCTGTTTAAGTTAGTATGTAACGAAAAAAGAATAATGATGTAACACCGTTTTGGAGATTCAGATCAATAAATTAAAAAAAGTAGGAACATTTCGTGTTTCCTATTAAAAATTTTAAGCTTGCCTACTTCGCAGACCTACTAGACTTCTATTTTCGTCAAATGAAACAATGAAAATACTTCCTGATTTTCGCTTTTCAACATTATATTTCTACCTACTCTTCACAAAAGGCCTAATAATGTTTAATAAAATTAATTTTACCATCAAAGTTGGTAACTGTGCAGAATTTTTCAGACTATTTGTGATAACATGTCAGAAAAGTTTGAAGTTTATATATTTCTTTTATCAGAGTATGAATGAAAGAAACAATTTTCTTTTTCAGGTATTAAACTAAATGCTTCTATTATCTTTCTTTAATTTTAGTGTTTAATTTCATAATATAATATCCTAACTCTTTAAATGTTTAAATCAGTTTTTATAACAACTCAAAAAATAAATAAATAAGATACAGAATTATGTTAAATATAATACATAAAAATGTTCTTTTTAAAGCTCAATCCTAATAAAAAAGCGGATATTCCTGAAGGATAAGTTTGCTTCAAAAGTGGCCATTTATCATACAGAAAACTGAGTAGCTGGAATCTGATCACGAGATTCAATATTTAGTAAGGGCATGCTGTTATTTACTGAAGAGAAATAGTAGCAAAGATGGATATATTAGATTGAAAAAGAAAGTAGATTCTCTAAATTATGAGCTAGAGACCGAGAAAGTCTAGGGAAATAAGATTAAAGGAAACTTACATTTCGTTGCAAGAGATCGAAAATTAAATAATTCTTTCAGGATGTAAAAAAAGATAAATGAAGTAAGAAAAAAGTTGATTAATTTCTCTATTGCTGATAAACTATCTCAACACAGTCATAACTGAAAAGAAAAGGAATAAATGGAGAATATCTCAATCCACAAGCAGAAGATACTTATCAAAATTATAAGCAGGATAAAGAAACTTCTAGTTGAAATGTCACTACATAATATTCAGTGAGTAATTGAAAGGACTTATCCTTACTGGAATGATGCAAAAACCTAATATTTCTAAACCTTTCAATATAGATGAGAATCATGACTAATGTTGCTATCGGTTTAATTTTATTAATTTTTGATTTTTTGAAAATTGATTGATTACAAATTTTACTTGTCTACACTTATCTATAAGAATTTCGATGTTAAGCGTCAAACCAAAATACCATAATATCGATAGTTTTCAGCTATTTTATCAATAAAAATAAGTAATCAATAAAATATATGCTATTTAGGACATCTAATTTTTTGCTGTTCAAAAGAAGCGTCATATTACGGTGTTTTGAATTAAAGTCTTGGATGAGTCTTATTGAAGTGAATTAAAGTCTTGGATGATTAACTAATTACTAAGTGTTTGGTCATGAATTTAGTGTAAGCCAAATATAATCCATTGACCTACAATTGAGTGATAGTGCGCTGGTTATTGTACGAATTGGTGTGGACTGTATGAGATTAGATCACTGAAATTTAGCATGTTTAAATTAAACGAATGATTCTAAATATGATTGATTATACTGTATGTAATGGATATAAGCAGAAAAAATAAATAAAATTTGTGCACTTGTACAATTTAGTTGATCTTGAAAGATGAAATAAATATTGCTGATAGTGAAATTAGAATTTTGTAGTATCGCATTGTTGGAAGTGATTCTGCTTCAGACGAAAATTGTAAGGTTAATCTGGACTCACTAGGTGTCTGAAATTGAGCTTCATTTCTACACCTCCTCTTCTTCCCCCCCAAATTTTCTCCATGAGAGTGTGAGAATAAAATGAGAGTGTGCTCACTTTACCAATGACTTGGAACAAATGGAAGGTCAATAAAATGGTGCTGAAGTCCAGAATTATATAGAACTGTTTTCTTCAATTTTTTTTTTTTGTGTGTTTCAGGAGTTGATCTCTGAATAGTAAATGTATTTACCTCATGCTTTTAAACTGTTGGATATTACTGATACTGACTATTTTAATCTAATAAGACATACTTATTATTCTAGGATTTCCCCTAATATATTGAATATATCTAAGCTTTAGATTTGAATTAAATCAATTTTAATTTAACTTGTGCCTTGCTTATCACAGAAAAAAAGAGATAATGACAAGGAGAAAAAAGTATCAATTATCTAACATTACTATCTATACCTATTATAGTCCGTGGTACAGACCCCTTTTTATCGAATTATTAACATTAGCCTAAAACGTCGTAAATACTTTCGTTTCATCGTAACCTACAACTATTTTATTTACGAAAACTCTTGGAATTTTCAAGCCGGAGCGGAGCAAATATTGCCTATTTAATTAGGCACTAAAAACTCATAAATACTCATTTGGCTTTTTACTTAAATTTTAAGATAATTTGATCACAAAATCGAGAAAAAAGGGCCATTGGGCCATTTGTTCTAAATAACCTCGTGTTTTTGAAAATTTGAGAGTGCAGGCCACCCCAAACGGGTTAATATTTTTGAAGGCCACGTTTTTTTCTCAATTTTTTGATCAAATTATCTTACGATCTAAGTAGAAAACAGATGAGTATTTATGAGTTTTTAGTATTTAATTAAATAGACAAAGTTTGTCCCCCTTCAGATTGAAAACGCCCTAATTCCAACAGTTTTCGTAAATAAAATAGTTGTAGGTTACGATGAGATGAAACTATTTACGAAGTTTCAGGCGGATGCTAATAATTCGATAATAGGGGGTCTGTACCACGGACTATAACTATAACTAGGAACCAAAAAATTAAAATAACATTCTTAAAACTGCCAATGCTGTGTTTAGCTAATTAATATTGGAGAAAGAGGGGAATGATGAAAAACAAACTTTTTGTGTGGATACAATGCATGTTTTTTTTTCAGTGATATACAATATATATTATACTTAGTTTTATTTTTATCAAAAAATGAAATTATAATTAATTAAAAAGTAATTTTCTTGAATTAATAAATGCTAATCTATCCTCAATACATATATATAAAAGAGGTTGTCTGCTATAACGGATGAAAATATTTCAAATAAATTAAGGTTGAAAGAAAATTATCAGGAATTTCAGTCAAGATATTCGTCAAAATTCTTGAAAATAATTTGTTTCATCCATATAATTGATCAGTCAACTAATTACCCATCTTCAAAATAAATTAAGATCACATATTTAAATTTTCGCTTTTGCTGTATATTTCAGCGAGGGGGTGAAATTGAGAGGGGAATATTTTCAGTTGGCCGACGCCATGGGGATTTACATAATTGAAGCTAGGCTTGATGAGGGACGATCGAGGGCTGAAGGGGGACTGTCTCAGTTTCAAAATTGAGACGTGACCTCGGATAACTGAGTTCTCCTCATGAATAATACGCTTAGCTTTTAGTTGTCGTTACTTCTTCAGGCGCTTTCATCAGCTGTTTTCACCCCCTCCCTCTCAACATTTTCTTTGATCAGCCGCGTCAAGTGTTAGCTCCTTTAGTTGCTCTTATCGGAAATTGGTTAATATCTAGACGCTCTAGTTGGTGGGCGATCAGCCTAACTAACTTCATAAAAACATTGATAAATTACCGGCAGGATCGACAAGTTCCCTACTAAGCAATAATCAATGATTTCGTTGTATACTTCAATAAATTTTGTTCGTATAATTATTGCGGAAGGTTGATTAAATTCTTTTGCCAAAGGTCAGACTTCAGGTGAGTTCAACTTCAGGCAATACGACATACGATATAATTTGGCATCGGACTTTATTTTTAGTTAAATGGTAGGTTATATGAATTGTGGAAAAGCAACCCACCCTTTCTGCTGGTATAAGGCAAATCTTACTTAGCTTTTGGGAGGCGCCCTACTCCAGTCCAGTATTTGCCTAGGTCCTCCTTTTATAAGTTTTATATCAGAAGTGCTGCGAGAAAGTTATGGGCTAGGTATTTGCCTGTTATCTTTGTTTTCACATCCCACCACTAGGCGGCGTTCGCTTGCAAAATTACATCTTCTCTTTTTATTTATTGGATTTAGCGGTTTCTGTTACTTTTTTTTTTATAGTCTTGTCAGAGGAAACACATAAATAAGCGGAAGAAGTCCTAGGTATTTAATGAAATTGGTATTGGACTTTCTATGGTCCAACGTAAGAAGCGATACGAAGGAATTGATGAGGGATTAAAAGAGTTGCCAATGTACAATGTGAGTTAAATTTGGAACAAGTGGGATATATTGGATGTGCTAGGAGCTAACGCGTGTTCAAAATACGTGTTTCAAGGCAACATAATTTATAAACCGAAGATTTCGAGCTCGAATTGCGGGTTTGGTTTGCTTTTAACTGTAGCATTCTCCTTTTTCTCCCCATGAATGAGAAAAAAAATCCATATAGGCATAAAGGCAAGGAAGGGAAGAAAAAAAATAAATGGATCTGCTATAGGATGCTGTGCATATTTGGGGTCTGTAACGACCAAATAAGATATAAATAAAATAAAATAGCTTAAACTTTGATTAGATGTAAATTTGTATATAAAAATAACAATTTTTAAGCCTAGAAATATTACAATGACCTCAAGGAAAAAAGTATTGCTAAAATGAAAAAAAAGTCTGTTACTTTTTAAAAAATTTTGATGCCTTTAAATACCTGTATAAATAGCAGAAGAATTAGAAGTAAATTGACAATTTAAATAAAATTCCTAGCAGTTTCATTTTAAATTATTATCAATACTATATTGTTCTGACGCCATGTATTGCGATTTTTTTCTTACTTATGATGGTAAAGGAATTGTTTTATTCATGGAATATTCTGTAGAAATCCTTAACTTGAGACTTAAATTATATTATCATATGCAAATTTTTATGCATTTTACATGAATACGATTATTGTTAACGAGATGGTAAAATTTACATTTGATTTTATTTCCAAAGGAGTTTAAAACTTAGCCAACGTGGAGTTTGTTTTAAATTATCTGTACGAGGCCTCGGGAAGGGGATGAGCTTAGTTAGGGAACGCTTACTGATAAATTGTTTTTATAACTTTGTATTTAAGTAAAGGCGGAGAATTTATTCATAGAGATCTTGCTCGAGCGATCCTTTCAAGATGATACGCCCTCAATATACATTTTTAACTGGCTCCTCGTTCACAAATTACTCGCTCGTCTTTGATCTATGGGGTCTTTGTTTCATTAAAATTTCCGCCTAATTTACATTTTTTTCCCTCCTCTCTTTCTTAGGATAGCTCATTCAAAGAGCATGAATTAACCATATAACTAAGGAACCGGGGAAGGATTAAGGACAATATAAGAGGGAAAATTTAGTAACAGCTTAGGATTACTCATAAAAATATTTCTCCAAATTTCGTGATAATGATTTAAATTCACAAAAATCTTGTTTGTGATTGAGTTTGTTCGTACATGTATATATCGTCCGTTTATTGTGAAAATTCGGACTGAAGCCCTTTCACTAGAAATAGTAAAATATAACCACGTTTTACGGGAAAAAAACACTATAAAGTTATATCTTAAAGGCGTTGTTGTTCGTGTAATTACGTTTAATAGGACTTTTAAAATCACTTAAAAACCATTTCATATAGGCAGTTAGTTTCTATCTTTTTTTGCAAAGTAATTATTGTTATATAAATGAAAAAAAAGCATTCGGGCTGAAACCTTCCCTCCATCAAAAAAAAAAAAAAAAAAATTAAATCCTGGATCCGCTAGTTAGTAGAACGGATCATATACAAAAAAGTAAATCAATCTCAAACAACAAATAAAGAAAAAGGAATGAACTTGTGGGATAACATAATATTATAACATCAGAAAAGGAAAACAACAATGTCATATTAAGGAAAAACCGAAAGAAAGAAACGTGAAATAACATTAAATAAACTATAAAATACATAAAAACACATTCATACTTATGTACAATACTTACAATCAGCCGAGAGAGCTCAGAGTCTGGCCCTCTTACCCAGGTTAACGAGGCAAAACTCTATGGGATCCTTTTTCTCTCAGTCGTGTCACCGGGATCGGAGTCTAGGGGAAACTGAGAGAGGGCACTAACATATATACCTTATAGAATACACATACATATACTTATATGTACTGACCTTTTTTGGCGTTTTCCTCGTGGGTGGTGAGGAATACAGCTGTTCTCCACCGTCGGCTTTTCTGTAATATAAGCGGTAGGATTCTATCGGGCTGTAGCTGATAACACTCCAAGAAATGTTGAAACTGTCCTTCTCTTCGCTGGATTTTTGGCTCCTGAACTGCATTGGATGAGGCATGCCTGGCACAGAAAGAAACTCTGTTAAAGTAATATTTAATGTCACGTGAAAATATTTTAAATATTCATTTTTTTTATTGAAATAAAAAAGGGAGGGAGTATCAGTCGGTTGAGGTCGGATGCACCTGGAGTAATTGGGTTTTCGAAGTTGATGATCAGAAGGTGAGGACCACCAATGTTCTTGTCAATATTATAAATGTATCTTTGCAGCATTGCAAGTTCCCCAAAGCGTGGTGACGATCGATACTCAGGCCTATCCCTAAAAATTAAAGCCCGTGACACCTTCGCACTACCGGCCAATCGCTCTATTGCCCATCGTGTCAAAAATACTTGAAATGATGGTTGATAAGGACTTAAGAAGATTTATGGAAGATATATTCTCTCCATTCGAGTCGGAGTTTAGACAACAGTGAAGTACATGCCCTGAACTCCATACAATTCTGACTGAAGTGCGTAGAGCGATCGACGAACGAATGGTTACAGTATTTGTATCACTCGTCTCACTAGGGCGTTTGAATCTGTCGACCACGAAATGTTGCTGAGGAAATTCGGAGGCTTTGGAGTAGGCGAGCAAGTATTACATTGATTAAGATCATATTTGATAGGACGGACCCAGCAAGTGAGAGCAAATAACGATAGCTCGGAGTGTCTAAAGTGCAGCTGGGTTGTCCTGCAGGGTTCCGTTATTGGACCGCTATTGTTTCTTGGGTACATTAATGAGTTAAGGCTCTGAAATACTGTAAAATCCACATGTTTCTTGATGACGTTGTTATTTGGGCTTCTTCATTGCCTGAGTAAGTGATTGAGACAATGTTGCGGGTTAATTCACTTCGCCGACACTTAGGCTTCTCCAACAGAATCCATCTAAATTATAAAAAATGCAGCTGGTTGCTAATAGGGAACCCTAAACTGCTTGTAAAAGCCGAGAAGGACAATTCGCTAGCCACACAGTTGATCATGGATGATGTCATACCCCGATCTGGGAAAATGAGAGTCCTTGGAGTTATGGTTGGTAGCAAGAGCTACCAATCATGAGCTACCAACAGAGCTACCAACCACGATAAAGATATCGTGGCGAAATCATGCTGGTTTCGTAGTGAGCAGGGTATATGACGTAATGCATTCTCTCTGAAGGCGGAAGAGACTATTGTCGACTAAAGTCAAGAAGATAATTTTACCTGCTCTAATTCTCCCCATACTCTGGTACTGCGAATCAGTCTACTTCGACATATCAGAATCAGAAGATGCCAGACATCCAGAGGGCTCTTAACACCGCAGTCATTTATATATTTTGTTCAAAAAGAGAAGTCCACACATATCCATATAGAAATGAGTGAGACTGGTCGCGAGCAAAGGACTATAGGAGACTTAATTTAATGTGCCTAGCAAGACAATTTCTCGACTCTGGAGATGGTGAGAAACTGAGGTAAGGTTCCGTAGTGGTACAAAATGAGAGGTTACAGGGAACATTTCAGTTGGCGGTTCACAGAACCGAAATTTTCAGGAACAGATTCCACGCTGCAGCGGCGAGAGAGCTCAACCGGCTTCCGGTAGAGATAGAACGGCGTCCTTCTTCCGCAGGGCTAGTGTTAAGCGATTCCTCACCGAGGATCGGTCAAGTGCACAATAAATATTCAAAGTTTCTACAGTTGCTCTCACCCGATAAGCTCTCTCTTATTTATTTTTTTTTTCTTTTTTTTTCTCTCTTAATTTATACTTATGATCTTATTTTATTTTTTATACATACATACTGTATTACATATATTTACTAAAAAAAATTTATTTTATTTATTTATATGATATTTACAACTGTATACAAAAAATACATCTGGTAAATTCGCCCATGGATATAAAGACATGAAACACATGTTGAGAAACTACCCATTGGTAGCACTCTATTACTAACATTTTATTTTTTTTTTTTTATTTTTATTTTTTTTATTTCTTTATGACATTTACAACTGTATTACATAAATACATCAAGTAAATTTGGACATAATTGATATAATGACATGAATACACTTGCTGAGTAACTACCCAATGGTAGCACTGTAATGATATGACTACATTAGGAGATCACGGGGCCATCTTCTTTTCAGACGCCTCGGAGGGTTATCAGGAATTGGAGAGGAAGCAAGGTTAGAAACGAGAGGGTCGGGGTGATTCTGAAGTTTATTATGGAAGGATAGGTATCTGGATTGGGCCAGATCTGAAACATAAGGAACATTAAGATCTTTATGGATAATTTTATTAGTGACAAAGTAAGGAGCATTGAGGATTTTACGAAGGATTTTGGATTGTAAGGATTGGATGCGAGAGGAATTCGATGGTTTAGTGGAGCCCCATAGCTCAACTCCGTAAGTCCAAATAGGCCTTATAATAGTCAAGTATATGAGTCTTTTGTAATTAATGGGAAGTTTAGAGCGTTTGTCTAGTAAGTGCTGAAGTAATCGGAAACGTCGAGCGGTTTCTTGTCATTTCAGTCTAGTATGAGGATTCCAAGTTAGTCGTTTGTCCAGGTGGAGTCCTAGGTATCGGATTTGCTCAACAGGGATAAGTGGAGTATTGTTAAAGGAAACTGTAGGACAGGAAGTCGTTGGTTTACGACGTTACTTTTTTTTTTTTTTTTTAAATTTCTTTATTGAGTATTATAACAATCTGTCTGTTCGACATTGGTTATAGTGAGGTAGGATGACATTCACACCATATGTACAAAAAAATAAAATAAATAGAACAAAATAATAATCAAAAGTATATACAATAGACAATAAAATAAAATAACCTAAAAAATAAGAAAATTAAAACTAAGGAAAAAAAAAAAAAATAACATGCATACCTATATACAATCAGGCGAGGGAACTCCAGGAGAACCCTGCGCTACTCTTCCAACCGCGTCACTGGTACTAAAGCCAGCGGAGATTGGTCGAGAGCACTTTAGCCACATACACACATGTCTTGAGTGAAGAATCTGGCCATTGCCAGAACTCCAATTTATATAATTTACAAAAGGTCGCGAGGCCACTGCCGTTTCAACCTTCTTGGAGGATTATAGGGATGGGAGATGCTTGATAGGGATTGTGCAAGAGGATTTGGGTGGTAAGTAAGGTTCTGGTGAAATTTGGAGAACTTTTCTGGGATAAGGTCTAGGACAAATGGGATGTTAAGGTCATGATGTAGTGTTTTGTTGGATACATAGAAAGGAGCATCGACTATTGTTCGAAGGACTTTAGACTGGAAGGATTGGATGCGCTTGATGTTAGAAAATTTTGCTGATCCCCACAGTTCTAGTCCGTAAGTCCAAATAGGTTTCAGTATTGTCTTGTAGATCAGTAGCTTGTTTTCAATGGAAAGTTTAGATTTTCTGCTTAGTAGTCGGTATAGTTGGCCGTATCGTCGGTTGAGTTCTTGTCTTTTGAGTCTAGTATGCGGGTTCCAAGTTAGTCTTCGGTCTAAATGAAAGCCAAGATACCGGACTGTGTCTGAATAAGGAAGCTGGATGGAATTAAAGAGTACTGGTGGACAGGAATTGCGTCGGAGTGTAAAAGTAATGTGTTGGCATTTAGATTCATTAACTTTAATGCGCCAGTTATTACACCAGTGCTCAATCAAGGTGAGATGACTTTGGAGATTTAAGGATGCTATTTCAGGATCAGAGTTGGATGATAAGATTGCGGTGTCGTCAGCGAATGTTGCAAGAAAAGTATCGGGATGAACAGGGATGTCAGCAGTAAAGAGGATGTAAAGCACGGGACCCAAGACGCTGCCTTGGGGAACACCGGCTTTAACGGAGTAGATATTGGAAAATTCTGTTCCACAGCGAACTCGAAAGGAGCGGTCAGAGAGGTAGGATCGGAGGACTAGGTACAAGGACTGAGGTAAATGGATTTTAAGCTTGGAGAGCAGTCCGGAGTGCCATACCCGGTCAAATGCCTGTGCAATGTCCAGAAAGGCACCCGAACAGTATTCCTTGTTTTCTAGGGCTGAGGAAATATGATCAACGACTCGGAGTCCTTGTTGAACAGTAGAATGGTGAGAGCGAAAACCAAACTGATGGGAAGGGATATTTTGGGATTCTATAATGGGTAGGATTCGTTTCAAAAGGATCTTTTCAAAAATTTTTGAAAGGATTGGGAGTAGGCTGATTGGTCTATAGGATGTTGAGCTATTGAGAGGTTTTCCTGGTTTTGGGAAAAGGATAATAGTGGAGTGTTTCCATAACAGAGGAAAGTGGGTGGTGCGTAGGATACAATTGTAGATATATGTAAGGAATATGACTGCTTTGGATGGAAGTTGTCGAAGGATTTGAGGTGTAAGGAGATCATGTCCAGGAGCTTTACGGAGGATTAGTTTTTTTAATTGAAATTTTACTTCGGAAGGATGAATAGCTTTTGGGGGCAAGGAAAGTGGGATTGGTGATGTAAGGAGTTCTTCTACTGTTACGGTGTGGGCAGGATGGGATTCCGGATGTGAAATAAATGTATTGGATAGGTGAATGGCGAACTCCTCAGCTTTATCTTCGTCAGATGCTGCCCAGGAGCCATCACCTCGTCGGAGAGGATGGGAAATGCGGTGAGGATTTAGGATTTTAGTTGTGGTTTTCCAAAGGGAATTGTCGCGAGAAGAGAGGGAGGATAGGTAGGAGTTGAAGGATTGTGATCTGAAGGTGGCTAATTCCAGTTTTAATTGTTTGCAGTAGTAATTATAGGAGCAGCGGTCGGTAGGATGTCGGGTTCGTTGCCATAATAATCTGGCACGGCGTTTGGTGCGGATTAGGTTAAGGAGGTGTTGGGGTAGAATGGTCTTTATAGGAATTCTGGAGGATTCTTTTGGAAAGGAGGCAGTCCAGGCGGCTTGTTGGATTGTGGTAGTAAAGGAATTTACGGCACTATCAAGGTCATCGGGAGTTTTGAGGGATATGTTGAGATCAATATTATCGGAGATTATTTGGCGGAAAAGGTCCCAGTTTACTGGGCCCCTAATGAATGACGGTGGAGAAGGTTTGGGAACAGGTTCAAGTGAAACATTAAGGATTAGAGGACTATGGTCAGAGGAAAGTTCATTTAGACGTGTAATGGAACAATTGAGGGGACTTAAGCCGCTGTGGATAAAGAAATCAAGAAGATCAGGATTACGGTTGGGATCTGTGGGCCAGTAGGTAGGAGAGTTGGGGGGAAGGAGGTGAAAAAGTTGGGAATTGAGTGCAGACAGCAGGGTTCGGCCACGAGAATTCGTGGTTCTGGAACCCCATTGTTGGTGCTTGGCATTTAGGTCTGCACCCAAGATGAAGTGATGTCCTAAGGAGTCGAGGAGAGAACTGAATTGGGCATTGGATATGGATCGGTTAGGAGGGCAATACGCTGATGCAAGAGTGACCGGAAAGGAGAAGGTTTTTATCACGATAGCGGTGGACTGTACGACGTTACTAACATTAAAATTAAAACAAAATTGTAAAAATATTGCAAATAAGGTACAATGTATATTGTAATGAAAATAGTAAAATTCTAAATGTATTAGTATATTTATCTGAAAGAAAGGACCACAGGTCCAAAATCAAATCTCTCTCTCTTTCTCTCTCTCTCTCTCTCTCTCTCTCTCTCTCTCTATATATATATATATATATATATATATATATATATATATATATATATATATATATATATATATATATAAAGTTATTATAAAAAATTACCATGTTATATAATTAAGAAGATAAACAGGAAAATGTTTGCCAAAATTCCATATTTTTTTTTTCAGGAATTGATTTTTCGTAAAAGTAAGTTGATGATATGTATGCTGCAATACATCAATCATTAAAGTACATTTACAATATACCTAATTGCTTGCTGGATAAAAATCAAAACTGACTAACACAACTATTATTCTAACCTATTCTTATATAATGTGGTTATATTTTGCTATATTATATTTAATATACAGATTATATTTATTCACTGCAAGTTAAATTTTTCATATAATGAACAATCCTATAGTAGTAATTGAAAATTAAAAGTAAAACATGTTTCGTTGAAAGTGATTTTTTGTCGTATGTCGCCCATTATAGGATTCTAATGACAAACATGAGCATTTCAGATATTTTAATTCAGTTTAATTTAATCTCAGATTTCTTATACGACTTGTGACAGTAATCTTAGAATATTTTTTTAAGCTCCCTGAGTAAAAAGACGTAGCGACTTAGTTATTGGACATTTGCGAGATAATTTTCCGTTAAATACTTGGATTCGAAATTTTTTGATAGAAAAATTTTCCCTTAGCATATATATATATATGTGTATATATATATATATATATATATATATATATATTATATATATATATATATATATATATATATATATATATATATATATATAAAGTTATTATTAAAAAATTACCAGGTTATATAATTAAGAAGATAAATAGGAAAATGTTTGCCAAAATTCCATATTTTTTTTTTCAGAAATTGATTTTTCTTAAAAGTAAGTTGATGATATGTATGATGTCATACATCAATCATTAAAGTACATTTACAATTTACCTAATTATTTGCTGGATAAAAATCAAAACTGACTAACACAACTATTATTCTAACCTATTCTTATATAATGTGGTTATATTTTGCTATATTGTATTTAATATACAGATTATATTTATTCACTGCAAGTTAAATTTTTCATATACTGAACAATCCTACAGTAGTAATTGAAAATTAAAAGTAAAACATATTTCGTCGAAAGTGATTTTTTGTCGTATGTCGCTCATTATAGGATTCTAATGCCAAACATGAGCATTTCAGATATTTTAATTCAGTTTAATTTAATCTCAGATTTCTTATACGACTTGTGACAGGAATCTTAGAATATTGTTTTAAGCTCCCTGAGTAAAAATACGTAGCGACCTAGTTATTGGACATTTGCGGGGTAATTTTCCGTTAAATTCTTGGATTCAAAATTTTTTGATAGAAAAATTTTCCCTTAGCATATATATATATATGTGTATATATATATATATATATATATATATATATATATATATATATTATATATATATATATATATATATATATATATATATATATATATATATATATATTTGAAAGTAAAAACACATTTATTGTAGAGTTACAAAACAGAAGTACAGAGTGATAACCTTTGACAAACAGGGCAGCGTATCTCCAAGCAAACAGGATTGAATATTCAAGAGTTCGGCTCACTACGAGGATTGGCCACAAAGAGGTGGCCACATGAAGAAGTGGACCAGCTTGGTACCAGCCGCCCCAGGTGTTGCTCCCGTTCTTCTTCTGTGGGAAGGATTAATCTGTTAGGGGAGGTTTTTCCAAACCGCACTCGCCTCACATGATGGATAAGTTCGATTCCCGGCTAATGGTCTTTCAAAGTCAATCTATTAATTAGTGGTTCTAATGTAAGCAGAGGAAATTAGTGGTATAGCCTAGGGGTCTTCAGGGCGCTCAGCTAAATCAATTCCAAGGTTTAATTAATTCCCCTGGAAACATGATATACAATATATTAGTAGCAGTCTAATGTTAACTATCAGGTAATAGCCCCTAATGCTTCTGAAACAATTTTGTTACTGATTTATCTTCAAACATCTGGCTACTGCTAATATGGAAATTATTAACTAGCTACATTCAAATGGATGTTCTGAAGATCATAGTTTGATTTTTACTTTCCCACCTATACGAGGTAAGGAAAGTATTGCAATCGGGTCAAATTTCTGATATGCGGTTTTCGACGGATCTATACGTTTCAGAGCCCCCTGAGTCCGAAAAATACATTTTTAGCTATTGGTCTGTCTGTGCCAAGATTTTCTCGGGAACTACTGAACCGATTTTGTTGCTTCTTTTTTTATTTTAAAGCGTTGTGACTACTGATGCCTGCGACAAAAAGTCGGTGCTCAAAGTGCGCAATAAATGAAAAACATGTTTTTTTTTTAGACTGTAGCGGGAAAACGGCTCTAACGATTTCGATGAAACTTTTCTATAATGTTCTGATCATTGTCCTTTTAATTTTCATATATATACTAAATACCCGAAAAAACCTATAATTTTATAATAGTCTAATCACTGTTCTATCAATTTTCATATATCCTTTGAAAGGTAATAAAATTCCCTACGAATCCGTATAAAAATCGTTCAATTTGGACAACTATTACCGAAGTTACAGCTATTCAATTTCCAATGTAAGATTATGGATTCATATCCTGGTGTCAGAAAGGGATGAATGAGAGAATAAAAATGGCTAAGTGAAAGTAAGAAAATCTGTTGCCCTCATCACACAACCTTTACTATTTCCGCTACTTTCAATAAAAAATATTGTTTGTCAATACTAAGCTATGCCAAAAAGTTTTTGATCACCAATATGAGGAAGTATTGAAATTTTTACACTGATCTATCTTAAGCCGGTTTACATTGCTTTAGTTTATTAAATAAATCGTACTCATTCTTTTGTTTGATCAATTTTCAGGAAAACAAATCTAGTTCAATTCTTTTTTGTTTCTTCATGAACATATGTAAAAATATAAAAACCTTTCTGAAATAGGTAGGAAAGTCGTGTGAGTGGGCACACCAAATATTCTTGTTCTCATGGTCATGTAGTATTGACTTCAGATTAATAAGTAGTTGGTACAAATTCCTAAGAAACCTAAGATATAACAATTTCTGTTGTTAGGTAACATTGAATAATTGATCCTAAAACAGCTATGAGAAAATTTCCAGGTAAAAAGTTCTATTTCTGAAATAATAGAAAACCTTTCGACATTTCATAGTAAAAGTCATACCGAAACTGATTACAAATAGATGTCAAATTTTCAATTCTATGCAGAATGAAGTTTACTTTTCTTTCTTTCTGTTTCATTATATATTAATCATGCCGCCCAAATATTGGATCTACATCAATTAGAAGTTCAGATAGATTTCATTATGAACATTTTAGTATTTGACAAGGTACAATTGCCAGTATATTTATGCTATGGGGATAATGAATGAGTCGGGTCATTACTTAATTTTTTAGTTAAAAAGGTACGAATTAATTATGAACAGCTACTTTAAAAAATTTATCGTACTCGTGATCAACCTCTTCCTCACATTAACAGAGGGTATAGAAGCGAACCTTAGATATTACATGCAATAAGTCCACAAAAATCAGGCTGCAAGCGATCGAAAGAGAATTTCTACTACTTCTTACTTATTTCTACCGCAATTAGTTAGCAACTTAAATTGTAACAATTAAAACTATTTTACTTCAGATTTATCCATTGCATTGAGCCTAATCGCAATGAGGGGATAACGCATCTGAAGGGAATGTTCATAAAAGGAAGAACAGGAGGACACAGCATTAAAGGCAGCCAAAGAGGCCAGTGTCGCACAAACAGCGGTACTAAAGATAAGGGCAACTAGCTCAGCCCTTAACCCGCATAATAGTTCTTCCTTAAATCTGTTCCGTCTGCGAAAGGAATAGCTGTATGCATTCTCTTCTGATATAATGAATAACTGATTTATTCATTTTATGCGAGAAATACTATTTTAAGGAATATTTTACAGATTTTACAAAAATATATTAATTTGTAATGTGGAAATTGTTTTTATTTCAATAATTAATTTTATTGAATAATGATCATAGATAAATATAATCTTGCGGGAGATGAACTGTAAATTTTTGAAACTTGATTAAAGAAATATTTCGAAACTAAGTTAATTGAAGGACTACGTAACAAAAAGGAAGCTTACTTAGATTAGACAGAAAATATTTTTATATTCCTGCCTCAAAGGACAACGTAACAAAATGGAAGCTCACCCAAAAGATTAGATAGAAAAGATTTTTACATCCCTGCCGCAACAACAATCTCAACCCCATCCTCACTAACTTATCCATTCTGATATGTCTAAACATCAACATCGTCACCGACATATAATTCCTCATATTCACCCTCCTTCAAACGCTACAGATCTCACTAGTCTGTTGGCATCTTTTCGCACCCATTTCAAATCAGTTGTTATCCCACTCATATTACTCCTTACAAATCTTCTATCTCACCTAGTCTCTCCTTTAAAAACTCCATAAATTACTTTCACGAAATTCTTATCCATTTTCCTGTAGAATGCGAAAGGTATTATAAATCATAAAGACGAACAATCTACTTTATTACATGATGTGGCATTAATTACTGAAACTCAACTAACCACTAAATAACTCTTCGAAATACCGCAATATTTGACTTATTGTACTGAGCATCCTGACAAAATTTGATGATTATTTTTTTGAAATAATACTAAGTGAAAAAAGAAATTCAGTGGTGGGTTACCGAAAGGAGTATTTCATAGACGAGATATATAATTGTTATTATAATGTTTGATCATAGCCATTTATTAAATGGTACTGTGACCAATATTTAACTGATTGAACCTAAATTAATCCAGTAAAAAATAAAGATAGTTTACTGAAATATCAACAAATGTCTTAAGCAATACTATATACATGGTATTGCCAAACGCAGACACTGATTTGAAATATTTGTCAATTGGTGGGACTGAAGTGTGGCTCGCTCAAACCTTCCTCTCCTGTACCTTACTGTGAAAGTTCAACAAACTTTGAAGTTTTACTGGGCCACGTTTCAGGTCACCAAATATCTATAAAAAGGATGTTATATTTTACATTTCTCATATTTTGAAAATAGTTTATCTCCTTCTAGATCGGCGATCGGCCCCACTGTGTGTTCGTCCCGCTTTATTTTTATATGTAAAATAATATATATATATATATATATATATATATATATATATATATATATATATATATATATTATGTATATATATATATATATATATATATATATATAGTCTGCAAGTAAAACGAAATAATTCTCTACGAATAAACATGAAAATATATTAGTGATTATAGTGATATATATATATATATATATATATATATATATATATATATATATATATATATATATATATATATATATATCACTATAATTCACTAATATTTTTTCATGTTTTTTTCGGACAATTATTTCGTTTACTTGTAGACTTGTAAAGAAAGGAGCTACGTCCCTGAAAGTAAACTCCATTCAGACGCACCAGGAGATTTGCAAATAAAGCAGCTTTCCATCAAAGATGAAATAATAGTCATATATAGACTTAATCATTTTAAGAACGTTTGAAAAAGATGAGTATAAATCCAATGTGTCACGAATATCTAAACCGACTGCAAATCGTTATGTTCGTTTTACAAGGAATAATTAATTAAAATTACCTGAACCAAATAAGTGTACCGGTATATAAATAAGGCAGATTTACTGTAACTGTTTGTATAAACATTTTAAAAAACCGGCCCAAAAGTATACGTTTTTTTTTCGAATAATAAAAAGAAGCGAAGAGAATTTTTGAACTAATTACGATAATTAAATAAATAAGGTAAGGTTTGTTATTGTTGAAGATCTAAAGCAGCCCAGAGAGGCCTGGATATTGACAGACGGCCTTGTGTCAATGTTGACTCCCAGAAACAACGTCATACTTCGGCCATCCGATGAACTCCAAGTCCCTCGTCTCGTAACTCTGAGACCGACCAACAGTTTCTTAAGGCCTTGTTGTAATCATAGTCCAATAAGCTTTGTTGTTAATTACTGAACACTTATAAAGTTTTACGTTTAAGTTGAATTTAACACCTAACTAATAAAAAAAGTAATTAATTAAACTAACTAAATATCTAAGTAAACTAACTTGTAAAAAACAAAAGACAGAACTTCGTGGGCCATTGAGTAAATCCTTCTTAGATAATTAGTGAAATTTCCTTTTCATCGCTTTCAGACGAAAATAATACATCCACAATTTGATATATATATATATATATATATATATATATATATATATATATATATATATATATATATATATATATATACAGTAATCTGTCATACATACAATAATTATAGTGAGATTTGAACACATTCACACCATATAAAGAGAAAACATAAAATTAACAAATTTAATAAAAAAGATGTCTTCCTTTGTGAACACAACGTATTTTTTATTAAATTAACTTTCAATCCTGTAGCATCAAGACTCAATTAAAGAAAATTAGCAAAAGTAAAATAATAACTATATATTATTATTTTTTTTATCACAAGGCTTTGACTAGACACCATTAGACAAAATTTACAATAGTAATTATTAGAAATGATTATTTAGATGAATCATTAACTAACAGCCTTTATATTTTATAATTTAATACCTATGGAGTTTACAAAGTGAGAAAACGCCTCCAAAACAGAATTAGAGTTTATCATTATATCAATCTAGATGAATTGTCTTTGTTTATAAGAGTTTTAATTATATAGATGAAATGGTTTCATTCTGCAGCATATTTAATGCATATCATCAATGCTTCGGGTTGTATTTTTTTTATTTTTTTTTTATTTTTTTTTTATTTTTTTTTTTTAATAAGGTCCTTTTCCGCTGGCTTTAGTACCTGTAAGGCGGTTGAGAGAGTAGCGTTGAGTTCCCTCGCCTCATTGTATATAGGTATGCATGTGTTTTTTGCTTAGTTTGAATTTTCTTATTTTTAGATTATTTTATTTTATTTATTGTATATACTTTTTGATTATTATTTATTTTATATTTTTTTTACATATACTGTGAATGTTTTCCTACCTCACTATAGCTAGTGTCCATGTGACAGATTTTTGTAATACTCAATAAATAAATAAGAAAAAAATTACAGGGTAGAACCATTAGGGTCATTATCGTCATATTTTCATTGAGAATTAGATTTTATTTTCAAGTGTTGAACATTTTATAAAAGAAAATGGTTTATCGATTTCATTCGTATTGTCTAGTAAAATAATGTGTAAATCGTTTGTCAAGTCACATACATGAATGATAGTCTAAGTGTTTTGTAAGCTCTGCATTCTGTTAAAACGTATTTCACTGTCAGAGGAGTTCTCGGGACGTCTTTAACTTCACACAATTCAAAATGATCTGTGTCTTCTCTCTTAGTAATATACAGGTAGATACCTAAGATAGTATGATTAATTTTTAATCTGCACATTGTTCTTATCCAAATTCTAAGAACGTTGTTATTACCAAACCAGGGTTCTATTGTTACAAGTGGGTATTGATATTTATAAAACATCCCTTTTTATTCTATTTCATAAATTTCCAGCCCTTCGGTCTTGATAGAAATTTTTAATTTATTTATGGTGCCTGAAAAAGGAATCTGATATTTATCACCTATTTTTTTGTTACTTCCTTCGTTAGATAATCAACTGATTTATGATATATTTATACGAAATTAGAGGAACTAGAGTGAAACTCGCATAGAAATGGAGCTATTAAAGTAAATGACATGATTGTGATCCGATATACAGATATCTATCTACACTTAATAAATAATACGATAGTACAAATCCCTTTTCATGCTCTCGGGAGCGATGTATTTTGTTGAATGAGGTATTAAACGAAAGGGAATTTCATGGAAAAGTGACGAATTCCAATTAAGATCTTTATATTTCTTCAATAAATTTAATTCAATTCACTGAAAAATTGATATGTTTTAAAACTCATATAATTTCAAAATCAAACAATGGAGGATAGTATAAATAAATAATTTTGAGATGCTCATCAACACTGAGTATAGTTTTAAAGCGACTATCGGTCCCTATTTTTAATGATCAAAAATGTCTCGTTCAATAAAAAGATTTTATACAAATAAAAATAAATTTTAATTCTTGCCGAATGATTCTTTAGTTGTGTATGATGGGTGCCACGAAAAATAATATATAAATACTACCGAGCTTCTATATTGTATTTTTCACCATGCACGGAACCATACCTATAACCTAAATAATCTACAAAGTTAATAAATATAATCTACTAACAATATTATCTACATTAAATATATTAACCATATATTAAAGTAGCTGTGCCTTATTGTTCACATATAAAATTTTAGGGATATTTTAGGCATTAGAGATAGGCGTATTTAACTAATGTGAATGTAATCTAGTTCTCACTGAGGAAAACATCTTAATATTTAATTCACACGTAATTATGTTCGATTGAGGTTTTTCGAACTAATTATGAAGTTCATTCTCATAACACGCCTTAGAGTCAAGTTTGAGCTGACGAGGATCCTTAAAGAAAATGAATTCCCCTTCTTTGACGACATTGATATTACATCGACAGTGAAGGGTCAACTAGGTATGCGGATATTGTAACATTTTCTAGGACAGGAAGGACAGCTCTGATCTTAGATTCAACTGATCAATGGCTTCAATCAGGCGGCTGAAATGGAAAGGGAAAAGAAAACCATATATGATAAAGCTATCCTTTTCCTAAAAGAGAAGTTCCGTGAGACCTTCGGAGAGAAAGAGTTCACCGTGAGATGCCTCTGATTTGGGTCTCGAAGAACGATCCGAAAAAGAACAAGGTATTGGTGTTTGGCAGCTTGCGATATTGACCGAGAATATTA